AACCTCTCATGGTGTAAAAAGGTTTCTACATCGTGAACGGGTTGGGTCAAGGGCGATCCCCTGCATAGTATTAGAGTCACCAATTGGAGGGTTCGGTATAGATTTTAACGCTAAATTACGAATTACTGGAGCAATGCTTCAATCTTTGAGTTTGATTCAAAGGAACTACTGTAATTATACCAGGTCAAACGTGCAAGATGCAGCGTGAAGTGCAATGTCTTTGAGCATAATTTTGAAGACTTCATCTCGAGACTCGCAATGCTAGTACACTTAACTGTATAAATAGATTGATATATTAAATGATATGGCGTGGTTTAAATGGGCGTTGTAGCTTGATAGCGGTCACCATACTATTTTAAATGGACGTTGTAGCTTGATAGTGGCCACCATACTATTCTTGTTGGGAGTGTCATATGGTTGGGATGGGTCCAAATTACGCACGTTTTTCACAATATAAGAATGAACACTCATGCTCTCTGATCCTTCGAAGACCTGCAGTGCAAGCGACTGGATGTTCTAGGACAAGATAGGAGAATTAAAATAAATTGATGAAGTCGAACAAAGATGTCTGGGTGGTGAGTTGATCATCACGCTTTTCTCACACACTTGAAGTCCCCGGTTTGAACATGAACTCAAGACACTTTCTTCTTCTTTTTTTCTTTTTTTCTTTTTTTAAAGCTTATTTAGACATCCACGACATATATAAATAGCACAAAATGAAATTGCTTCCCGTTTCGTGTGGTGCAGTTCGGGTTGCCTTCCCATACATCTCACACCGACTGCCTCTTTTCTCAGATCAATTTGTTGCTGTCACTGCAAATTCCACCCTCGAGTCTCTCGCCGTTTTATTTCGTACTTAGCCAAATTACAGTATTATAGTGATTTTGTCTGGCAAAACGTACACATTTTGTAATACATTGGGATGTATTTATATTGATCATTACACTACATCTATTTGCGTTTTTTCAAGTTAAATGAAGTTGCAATTTTTCCATGTTTTAGCTATCATGGCCGACCCACAATCTGCAGGTCATCATGCTCTCTCTATGTGAAATCAAATGATATCTCCATTGACCCCATAGTCAATGGCTTGCCTCATGGTCGGCAAATCTCTTAAGAGCGACCAAAGACATGCTTTTCCTTTGGACAAAACTGACCGCTAAACAAATCGGAGTCTAATCCACGGTAGTATTGCATAATTGAGTATGGCTGATATCAAGTAGACTCTACTTAATCCCAACGCGGACTGTGTTATTTGTTTACTCTTACTTTAGGGGCTCGGCCCTTTCAAAAGGAAATGTCTAGAAGCACCAAAATTATGTGACAACGAAAGACGTTGATGTGTTGTCCATTACACACACGAAAGTCGTTCAATCCAATGTCATGACGGACGCCAAGGATCCAAAAGATGTCCCCCACATTTCCTATTGGATTATGCGAAACCTAAAGCAACAGCAATCTCTTTATCTTTATTCTAGCTTCTTTTCATGGACAGAGGAACGGAATTGACACCAAACTCGTTTGAGATAAAACAAATTTGTCTTCTTTCGTCAGCTCTTCAATCTCTTACAAATTTGTAATGAAGCAACCACTCGGCATGAACCAGTGAATTCATTAGGCAACCTGAACACATGTATCCATTTCAATAGGCTACAGCCTCTCTGGTTTATTCATGAAACGGCTCGTTATATTCATGCATTAGAGGCCATATGTAAAGTACCCCAATGAAAATTCAGTAGAGATGGGAAATTTTGCAAAGCAGAACTAAGGTGAAATCTCATGGTTACATAGCCATAGATCCAATTTCAACAGACTCATTCAAAGTCTCTGGTTTATGAAATCTGTAAAAGCATCAAGTGCACTCGAGCTCGCTGGGAAATTGTCGCGATCTACTCGAACCGATCGGATTTCGGGTTTAGGCCAGGAGGTATTTGTCGATGGATTTGAACAACGATTGGTTCATTTGAAAGACAAACCAAATGGTTCATTGATCCAAAGACCGAGGCACTCCCGAGCCTCATACCTCGCGCGACGAGAATTTTTTTTTTTTTTAATTTACGCATTTGAATGGAGTCGCCACTAGCCATAATCGAGGGTCGGCTAGAAACCCGAATCAAGACGCGGGAGTGTCGTCTCGATACGTGCGAAAACCAGAGATTCTAACGATCGGGGACTTGATTACACTAGCAATCTAACTAGCGCCCTTTCAGTACCTAAACTTGAATGTTTGCAAACTGACGTACCAGGCAACATATCGAAAAAGTTAAGATTCCACCTAACCATGCTAAAAAAGAAAATAACAACCAATAAATTAAAGGTGCGCAACCAAATAATCACAAAGAAAATAAACAACCAGCGACCTAGCATCGTCTCTAAAAAGAAAATGCAATCAAAAGCCCTAAGGTAAAGCCCTAATGGCTTATTCGATTTTTGAGAATTTTTTTTAGAGGGTTTTTCTCATTTTTCATTCATTTTGAGTTTTTAACCTAAAATTTAGTGAAATTAGGCCCAAAACTGATTTCTGAACATTTTCTAATTTTCTGATTTTTTGGAATTTTTCCGAATTTTTTAATTTTTTTGAATTTTCTGAATTTTTTAATATTTTTTAAAATTTCCAGATTTTTTAAATTTTTTTGGGTTTTTAAACATTTTCGAATTTTTTTGGAATTTTTAATTTTTTAAATATATTTTTATATTTTTTTGAATTTTCGAATTTTCGAATATTTATTATTAATAATAAAAAAAACCGGACCGGGTCTCTCGACCCGATCCGACCCGGCTGTCCGACCCGCCCGAGTTTTGAAAATTTGATTTTATTCTATTTTTTATTTCTTTTTTTTATTTCTTTTCCTTTTCTTTTCTCTTTTGTTTCTTTTTCTTTTTCTATTTTTCTTCTTTCTTCTTCATCCCCTCCTGCGCGTGACCTTCCTGGGATCTTCTGCCCAGAACATCTTCATGGCGCCTTCTTCATAGTGGGCTCACCGAGAGCTCCCCTTCTCGGCTCTCCACCGTAATTACCTCCCCCCGGCCACCGCCACCATTTCCGGCCGTCTACATGGCAGCGCTAAGCATCATGACCGCCACCAACTCACCACGCACACTCCAATGCCGACCATCGCATCCGCGGCCACCGAATGGCCAACACCGACAACATCTTTCTCTCTTTTTGTTTTGTTTTATACAGACACCAAACCATTCAAACAGCAGCTCACTCAGCAAAAAGAACACTCACACCTACGCACATCAAAAACGAAAAGGACCGGAGATTAAGAAGGCTGACTCTTGACCACGGGGATCATCGGCGAGGGTAATGCATGGTCGACTCAAGCGGAGCGTGGGTTGCGACGAAATCACATGAAAGACAAAGGAAACTTGAAGTCAGTGACAGCATTAGAGCAAATCACGCATAAATCGAAGCCGTAGAGCGTCGGTTTTATAGAAAAGGATCCGGCGTTCGTTTGGGCATTTTATCAAACAGGTAGTGTGCAGCTCGGACCATCACTCCCACGTATGGATTTACCACCATTTAAGGCCTAAACCTAATATATTAAGTGTTAACTCGGCAATTTTTCATCATGAATCAGTGTGGGTTTCACGTGGTTTGCTCAAAATCTCTTTGGTTGGTCCAACATTCCCAAAAACCAGTAGGCAAAGAAGAAACAGGGGATTTTCTGGAGGTTTACCTGGTTCGAGCGACTCCTTCGACGACGAACGGCAGCCACCAGGTGGAACCTTCGACAGGAACAACAGCTACTCAAACGGACCGCCGAGGAGTGAGCAACAATATCTCTCTTTTTTCGATTCCCTCCCGGTCTCGGTTCTCTTTCAAACCAGCTCTCGCTTCCCCTCTTTCTCACGCTCTCAGTCGCGTTCTCTCCCCGAAAAACCTCCCGGGAACTCTCCCTCTCCCTTTGGAACTCTTCCTTCTCGCTTCTTCTTCAAGTTTTTTTTTTCTCTGATTACTCCCCCTTTCTCATCTTGGTCTCTCCCTTATCTCTCTCTGTCCTCTGTTCGTGATGGGCCAAGGCGGAACGCGACGACCGGAGATGATGGATGTCTGGCGACGGTGGTTGGCCCGTGGGGAGGGGGTAAGAGATTTGCCGGCGATCCTCACCGAGGGAGGAACCGAAGCGCTCTCTTCTTAGACCCCCTTCCCTGTTTCTTTCTCTCAGTGTCCCTTATTCTCTTCTTCTTCTCGCCTCTTTATCCCCGAATCGGGGACTCGTTTGGGACCACTATACGTGCCTGACACTGGGCGTCGCGCGACGATGGACGCTGCTGCTGCGCGCGACGTTCCCTCTGCAGCGCGATGTTCCATTCTCTCCTCGTACCTGTGCCTTCCTGTGGTCCCCCTTTTGTTTGTCTCCCTCACGATCATGAGGGAGACAAACAGAAGAGAAGAAGGCTGGGCCTAAAAATAGAAAAGACAATGTAGCTGCGCTGTGCAAAGGGGGTTGGGCCGAAAATAAAGAGGAGGGGATGGTTCGAAAGTGAGCTGAAGAGAGAGGGAAAAGGAGGGGCCTAGTCGAAAGAGGAACAAACAAAAAGGGCTGGGCCCAAGCGAAAATTAAAAGACAAAGGTTGGGCTAGGGCTAATCGGCCAAGTTGAACCGGCCCTATATATTTTATTATATATTTTTTATCTCTCTTTCGCACTAACTTGGCTCATTTACTATTCAAGCCTTAATTAATCGCGGCGAGGCAAAATTAGGTGTCAACAGAAACCATGCCCAAACTTGGCCTTGATCGAAGCTGCTCTCTTGTACATCTCCTCATCACACATTAGCCTCTCAATCCCCTTCACTATCTCATTCTTCTTCACCAGCTGTGACAAATCCTCGGCCACTCTGTACCCTACCTTGAGATGGCTCACCACCAGCTTGGCATTGTAATGCTGATCCCCAAGGATCGGCCACGACAGAAGCGGGACCCCGCCCAATTGCCTCTGCCGTCGAGTTCCACTCGCAAGTGTGACAGGAACCCACCCGTCGACGGGTGGCTCAGATCGGGAGTTGCGGCGCCCACCCCGTTATGATCGGGCCCCCGTCCCCACCCCCGCTCTCCATGTCGTCCGAGAAGTCCCCTCCGTACTTGGTGGACCCGATGACCCATATGAAGGACCGGGTTGACTCCTCCAACAGACCGGCCAATTGCGCCGCTCCTCCTCGTTCGGGCCCATCTCGCTGCCAAACGCCACGTATAGGACCGAGTGCCGCGGCTTGCGGTCCAGCCACTGGATCACCTCGTCCTCCCTGCAGTTCGACTCGCGTCTGTGCTCGCCGGATCTCACCGTCCGAGATCGCCGAGTCGGACGTCTTCCGCATCTTGCTTCGGGCGGGAGAGCGGGCCCCCACCCTGACCGCATCTTCATCCGGTCCCCATGTAGTCGATGAATGAGCGCTCCGGTCGGCGCACGTGTTGAACATGAGCCCAATCGTGCCCTCGACCTTTGGGACCAAGGAAGGCCAGTCGCCGGGCTTCGTTGGCCCGCCTTTGCCACCTCGAGGATGCCTGAGGGGCTTCCTTTTAAGATTGGAACATGTGATCGCCATTGCTTCGGGCAGCCCCGGAAGCAAGCGAGCTTCGCCAGGCTGGACGTCACTCGCCTGGGTCCTCCACACGCCTAGATCCATGGCCGCAGCGCAGGCGCTGAATGTGAAGAAGTTGATCACTGGGACATTGAGGTAGCGAATGATAACCATTCTGTTCCGGAATGAGTTCCTGAACCAGAAATAGATTTTTCTATTTCTGGTTCCTGGATGAGTTTCTGAGAAAAAAAACCCGTTTGATAACGACAAAAAATTTCTATTTCTAGAACAGAAACCCGTTTGATAACAGCACAAAATTTCTAGTTCCTAAAACAAAAACCCGTTTGATAAAAACAACAGAAAATTCTATTTCCAGGAACAAAAATCCATTTTTTTAGAAATAGAAGAAAAATAATTAAAAATTCCGAAAAATTCATAAAAATCTCAAAAAAATTCAAAAAATCCCAAAAAATTGAAAAATTCCAGAAAAAATCATCAAAATGTCGAGAAAATAAAAAAAATTCAGATTTCGGGATAATAGGAAATTTGTTTAATTTTTTCAAAAAAAAATCAAGAAATCAAAAATTTCAAAACTTCATAGAATTACTTAGAATACATATAGCCACCTACTTTGAGTAAAATTTATATTTTTTGAGGTGCCCAAAAAAATATAAAATAAAAAAAATAAAAAAATTTCACAAAATGGCTTAGAATACCTATGGCCACCCACTTTTTGAGTAAATTTTAATTTTTTTGGGATGCCCAAAAAAAATTTAAAAAAATTTAAAATTTCAAAACTTCACAGAATGGCTTAGAATACCCGTGGCCAATCATTTCAAGAGAAATTTAATTTTTTTGAGATTTCCAAAAAAAATAAAAAAATTAGAAATTTCAAAATTTCATAAAATGGCTTATAGAATATCTGTGGCAACCCACTTTGAGCGAAATTTAAATTTTTTTAGGTGCAAAAAAAAATCAAAAATAAAAAAATGAAAAATTTCAAAACTTCACAGAATGGCTTAGAATACCTGTGGCCACCTACTTTGAGCGAAATTTTAATTTTTTTAGGTGCAAAAAAAAAATATACAAAATCAAAAATTTCAAAACTTCACATAATAGTTTAGAATACTTCTAACCACTCACTTTGAGTGAAATATACAATTTTTGAGATGCCCAAATGGTATTTTTGATTTTTTGCATTTTTAATTTTTATTTCGTCACCTATAAAAACATTAAATTTCACTCAAAGTGGGTGGCCACACGTATTTTAAGCCATTCTGAGAAGTTTTGAAATTTTTTATTTTTTTTTATTTTTTTTCGGCAGCTAAAAAATTAAAATTTCGCTCAAAGTGGGTGGCCACAGGTATTCAAAGCCATTCTATGAAGTTTTGAAATTTTGATTTTTTTAATTTTTTTGGGAAATCTCAAAAAAATTAAATTTCTCTCGAAATGGGTGGCCACAAGTATTCTAAGCCATTCCATGAAGTTTTGAAATTGTTAATTTTTTTAATTATTTCGACACCTAAAAAAAATTAATTTTACGTTAAATTCGTAACGTTACGTATGCCCGCACACAAATTCCAGTCAAATTAATGCAAATGGCCAAGCACTGGAAAGGGTCTTCAACATTCAACCATCATCGCTCTCGATATTTGCTCTCAATATTTGTGAGTATGCATCGTTCCTCATAATATCCCAAATGCTTATGGAGAAAAGTAAACCAAGCACATTACACTACAAGAGCCAATATAGGAGATCCCAAAATACCACGTCACATTACAAGAGCCAACATAAAAAATCCTCAAATACAAAATAAAGAAAATACATTAGAAAAGTCGGAAACACATTTTCATGGAATCTCCGCCATATTATTATCAATTGCCAATTGATTGGCAATTCTTTTCTTAAGCATGTTGATCTCAATATCCTCCTCAGTCGATGTATCGTCAATAACCTCATCTTGTGCATTTCCAAACGGATACTCTGAATCACCATATTGAGAAAAGTTCTTATCCATCTTGTCTTGATCACGGATGTAATTATGAATAGCACAACATGCAATTACAATACATGACTGCTTTTGAATTGAAAATGAAGGCATGTGTCTCAAAATGAAAAAGCGATTCTTTAACACCGCAAATGATCTCTCAATAACATTCCTTAGTGAAGAATGCCTATGGTTGAATAATTCTCTTGCTGTTGTTGCCTGCCTCACTCTACCCCTAAAATCATTAATATGATACCGTTCCCCTTTGAAAGGAGTCAAAAATCCCGGAGCTGCAGCATAACCAGAATCTACCACGTAGTATTTGCCTAGCAAAAGGTATTCATATATTGATCATGATTCGCAAATGCAATACAATTATACAGAAAATTATCCCATGAAAAACAAGCAAATACCTGGTGGAGGTCGAGGAAATTGTAAGCGAGGTGTCTCGAGTGCTGCCGAGAGCACCCGACAATCGTTGGCAGAGCCTTCCCAACCAGCATACACAAATGTAAATTTCATATCAAATGAACAAACACACATCACATTTTGAGTGGTAATTCCTTTCCTGCCTCTAAATGGGATCTGTTTCGACACTGGTACAGAAGCATGAATGTGAGTGCCATCAATAGCGCCTATGCAGCCCTGTCATTTCAGCAAAGACTAGCATTATACAAGATTATCAATAAAATGTAAATGACGGTGTAAAGGAATGTATGCAAATCCTACCTTGAAGTAAGGATTATATTTAGGATTGATAAGAATTTCTTCTGGGACAACATCAAATGAAGGTGGTACGATAATTTCTCTTGCCAAATTCAGAACTGCTTGCAACACTTTAGCAAAGTACTTGCTAATAGTTTGTCCCGAATGTTGGAATCTCTCACATAAATCTCTATTCGAGTTCTTGTGAGAAATCATAGATAAAAATATCCCAACTTGTTCGTCTACCCTAATATATCGACTATCTGCCAACCAACCCCTCACCTTCATTAAATCACAAAGGTTGAGAAAAACATGCCTCTCCATTCGAAAAGTTTCATATATCCTATCTGAATGTCCATAAAGAATCTCTCTTATCCATTCAGGCCCTGACAATTTACTGTCCCTAATAGGTTCTCTCGTATGCATAGACATGTTCACCGAAACAGTACACATCCATGCTTTCAGTATATTAAGTTCAAAATCATCGAAGACCTGTTCAGTTGGTTCAACTGATGCTATTGGACCATTATTGCTGCTACTTTCAACCCCCTCCATATTACCTATGCCCTCGCACGAAGAACACAAACACAACAAATAAGTCAGGAATCAACAGTAGTCACAACGTCATCATAGTTCCATAATTAACAATAGCCACGTCATCATAGTTGCATAATTAAAAACAAACCAAAGACATCATAGTTCCATAAATAAAAACAAACCAAAGTATCTCAAGGACACAAGTCATTAAGTGAAAATAAAGCAAACATGAAAAAGTCATCGTAGTTCTCAACATCTATTCAAAGAGATTCAAGAAGACCGCGTCTCCTTTCAGGTAAAGATAGGACGAAACCCTCTCTCCAGTTGGCACTAAGGCATGCTTGGTTCATAGCTTTGTTGTAAAGACTTTGCTCTAAGTCAAGCATGTCATTTAAGATGGCAACCACGGCTCCCATGGAGTAGGGGTTCTCGGGTGGGGGGACATGTGAGGTGATGGAGCCACTTGTTGATTGACTCGCCTTGGACTTGATCATATCTTGAATGGCTTTGCAGGTGCCAGCAATATCATATGTGCTACTCTTTCTCCTCCTCTTGGAATTTGGAGTCCTATCCAACTTGTGATTCTCACGAACTTGCGTGGCACTCACGTCAGGTGTGAAGACTCCATCACTAAGTTCGTTTGGATCACCTACCAAAGCACCACCACCATTGTCACCACCACTACCATCGTCTTCCCCCTCCGACACCACCAAGTATTCTGCATTTCCTACTGCGTAATCCCCAGTAGCATATGTATCGCCAAACACGATACACAGATCGGGATATTGAGGAAACCCATCCTTTCGGAATTTAGCCCATTCGATGTTATCCTGCAATTTAAAAAATAGTGACATACGTCAGCAACATAATTGAAACATACATCCACAATAAGAACAAAATGACCCAAGTAAACTGATACCTTGATGTGATCATCCCATACACTTGGATCCTCCACAATAACCGTTTTGTTAACATGATCCCATCCAAATCCAGATTGTGAAAGAAGCTTCTTATAACTCCCATACTGTCTCCTCAATTTGTTTGTCCTGTTCTTCAACTGAACTACAGTAAACTGGAGTGTTGTTTGTTTATTGAACTCGGTAACTATGTTATTCCATCCTACTTTGTTGTAGGTAGTAGTGGTGCGATTTCCTCTTTTTACCTTTTCAACCATTAAGCTTACAAGCAAATTGGTTAAAGGCTCAGTCCACTTTGCCACAAATGTCTCTTTTTGAGATGCCATTTACCCTTAACTGGTTGAACATCAAATAAAGCACATCATATGGTGTACCAATTCAAATGCAGAAAAGTATAAGAGAGAAAATGGCATAGTACTAGTCATCAATCATATTTCAGCATTCTTGAAATTCAATAAGGTTCACATGCCATAAGAACAGCACCATATGAAAGTTACAGCGGCAAATAGAGTTCTGCAATGACAGCTAGTAATAACTTTTGCACATAAAGCCAACTTTTTCTTCTTGTTTATATTTTCTATAAGATAAGTAAAACGGAATTCACCGGTAAAAGACTTGGATGTCCTTGTAAACAACGAAGCATAGACAGCAAGTTGCTACTAGTGCAGCAACTACAACAAAGGGGATAAACAGCAAAACCGACTGTTGAAAATCACACCAAATTTCAAATAGACTTCACTTGCAGTAGTGAGAGCGACCAGAACTCTAGTTCACAACAGCAATTGCAAAAAATAAAATCCTGAAACTAAAACTGCATGATCACCTAGGAGATAACACTACCAGGTTGACTACAGCCAATGATTTTTATCCAGGAAAACAAAAGGAGGATTACGTTTGTTGCTCTATGTGGTTCTGAAGCTTAAGATCACATTGCTGTTCGAAAGTGCAAAAGGAGTTTTCACATTTTTACATTGTCTCAAACTCATCACACAAGCGAAACAAGTAAACTGAATATACAATCTGCATAATCAGCAATTTCATCAAGTTAAATTGGTTTACAGTTAAGTGGCAACATCCAATCAAACTAACTAATACACCATCAAATCCCAACCAGATGAAGACATGCTCAGGGCATCCAATGTGGACAAAGTTCCAAATATAGAGTGATTATAGCTCGTTCAGGTTTTTAGCAGTGGGTTTAAACATAGCATACTAATCGATCACCTGACTTTTTTGAAGGTGCAACTAAAGGAATCAACAGCAGTCAAGCAACCAGCATGCGGCCTTACACAAACAACACAACATCTCAACCAAGGAGATTCGCGTACTTACCTCGGGTCCTGCCGCACCTGCACTTTATAGTCAGTTCTACAACCAGTCAATCACTACACAAACAGTCAGGAGGTACACGTAGCATGCAAGGTCTCCCTACTGGCTACCCAAGGTCATCGCCCCTTATCACTCCAGGCTTCGACCGAAATGGATCGAGCTAACCTTGCTCTGATACCAAATCAGACGGGGATGTCACGCCCCGCACTCCTCGGCGCGCCACATCCTCGCAAAGGTCGATTCGTGTGCGACGTCCCAGGACGCGTCGCCGACCCAACACCCAACACAGAGATTTAAAGCACATGCGGAAGTAATTAAAACCACCCGTACATTAAAATACACCTGACCAAGGATAGCCACATAACAACCAGCACGGATAAATATACACTTGTTTTGACATTGGGAAACATATACAATATTCATATACAGCCCACACTCAAAAATCAAAAGCGGGTACATGGCTCGGCGATCAAACACTATATCTAGCCGGGGCTCCTCCCAAAACGTTTCAATACGCTTGCCATCTTCAAGACTGAGGGGGGTTTGAAAAATTGGGTTTCAACAACAGTGAGAATAAATCTCAGCGAGTAATTTCCTAAACCTAAATTAGGCTAAAGTGCACCTCCTCACGAGTACTAAATCAACACACCAAGCAAATCATAATTGACTTAGGCCCTCGGGCCCAAATCCAACACTCACCTTGCCCTGCAGGTTAGGCACTTACAGTTCAAGCATAAAACATAGGACCCAGTCGCAGCACATGTACACATCATTTGGTCACAACGCATGTCATGCTTATGCTCGTGCTCATACGCGTGCTCACGCCTCATCAATGCATTTTCGCACGCTTGCACTCTAGCATACTTGCCATTTATCAATTTCTCCTCCGACCCGCGTTAAACGCATCAGGTCCGACCCGCGTAAAACGCATCAGGTCCATCACTTCGAGATCGATCTCTAGCCCGCGTAAAACGCATCAGGCTCATGGCACAACACCCGCGTAAAACGCATCAGGTTTGGTCATCTTCCGGTAGTCCGGGCATCGTCCCGCGTAACACGCCTCAGGACGGGTTCACTACCCCGCGTAAAACGCATCAGGGTTTATTGTGATCACACATTCACAAGCACCCATTTTCATCTGAACCCCGCGTTAAACGCATCAGGGCATTTTAGGTGATCACAATGCACATGTCACTCGAGCACACTTGTAAATGCACATGCCGTGCCAATGCTCGTGATGCAAACTCATGGCCATAACGTTCACACTTGGGCACTCACGAATTTCACAATGAGCATTCGATTGCACAACGCCACATAATCAATTCACCATACAATATGCTCAATTCAATGAATCACAAGCCCAATCAATCAATTAATTCAAATCAGCCATGGTACATCATCGGCACACGAAAATCACGCAATTAAGCCATTAAACTTGCACAAGTCTAAGGTCCACCAAGCATATCCTTTCTCGGCCACATAAGTACTCAATCCTGGCATCACGTAACCACTACCAAGCCATAAACAATCAGCCGCTTAATGGACAAATCAAGCACACACGGCCAATTCACAATTAATCCTCAGTTTCGCCGACACAAGGCCCGATAAATTCCACTATGGATAGTCACTAACCAGTCCCCTCTAGGCCTCCAATCCACTTCCAAATCATCACATTAGGCTTCCCAAATCCATCACATAAACAGCCACTACACGGCCCGATTGTTGCACCCCTTTATAGTCCGCATTTAGACCACGATTAATCAACATAATAATCCAATCGAGCCTACACTAATCGGTCACCAACCAGATCACCTTAGGCCACTAAATCACTTCCAAATCACCACATTAAGCTACAAGAATCACCATGAAAACAGCCACCATGCGGTCCACAAATCACATCCGCCAAATCCACATAATCGCCTAAATTAATTTCCCCAATGAACAGCCGACCATCAGCCCACTCTAGATTATCAAGTCATATTTAAATCATCACATTAGGCTCTCATAATCACCACATTTCCAGCCTAACTCACAGCCCACGCATTTCACCCATTTAATCCACATAATGGCCCGAATCGAATCCACAATAAACAGCCACCGATCAGCCCATTTTAGGTCATTATATCACATTTAAATCATCACTCTAAACTCCCAAATTCACCACATAATCAGCCATCACGAGGATCAAACTAGACGCGCTCTATATCCCGCAATTGAACCCGAACTTGACCCGAACTCGGGCCGATTCAATCCAATACTTCCGGCCATCACACAACACATTCTAAGCCGCTAAACCTCATTAAAATGATCCCGCTAAACCACCAAATCAGCCACAACATCAGCCCCTAACAATCTCCACAATTTAACCCCTAAAATACCCTAATTAACCCCTAAAACTCATCTAGAAATGTAAATTAGCCTAATTAGGGTTTGGGGTTGTACTCACTTGAATTCCTAGGCTCCAAATAGGGCTGAGCAAGTGTCGACGGCGGCTGGACAGCGGCGGTCCCGCGCCGGAACAGTAACGGCGGCGGCGGCTCCGGCGAACGGTGCGAACGGCGGCGACGGACTAGACGATTCCACGGCTTAGAGAGGGGGAAAGGGACATGGCCAGAGAGAGTGGGACGGTTGGACGAGGCTGGGTGAGACGGTGGTGGCGGCGGAACAGTCCCCGGCGGCGGCGGGGGCGTGAGGGAGAGAAACAGGGGAAGAACAGCCGCTGGGCAAGGGCGAGCTCGGCCAGAGGGGAGTTGGAATGGTGGTTGGAGGCGGCACGGTGGCGGTTAGGACGGACTGAGGTGGCGCGATGGCGGAGCGACGAGCGGTGGTTGAGGGCGACGACGCGCGGCGGCGGGGCACGGTTGGACAGCGTCGGGCGCGACGGCAAGCTCGGAGCCGCGCGCGAACAGGGGAGGGGAGGAGCGGCTGGACGGACGGCACGACTGCGCGAGGCAGGGGGCGGCGTGCGGACGGCTGGGCTGGTCGCCGGCGAGCAGGCGGTCGGCGTTGCAGCAAGAACAGAAGCTAGAAGCAGAAGATGCACGGGCAGAAACAGCAAGGGAGAAGAAGAAAGGAAGAAAGAAAAAGAAGAAAAGAAAAAGGGAGAAGAGAGAGAAGGAGTTGGTGGGATAGTGGGTGGTGTCAGGCGCGTGGGTGGCGGGTCAGACACGCAAAAGGGGTCAGCGGGAAAAGGGGGAGGAGAGAGAGAGAGAAAGAGAGGAAAGAAATAAAAGAAAATAAACTTCATTCAAATATTAATCGCGATCCGATAGCCCAAATTAAAAACCGAAAGTGGTCTACCGGTCCAAAATAAGCCTCGCACATAAAAAGGGACAAAGGCCAAATTAATTAGACCAAATTATAACGAGGGAGGTCTACTAGTCCAAATTCGCACGTGGTCAAAAACTCCCATTTTTCCATCATTCCTGACAATCTCAACGTTGGCTACCATAATATTGACACCGTCCAATTTATTTTGTCCTGAAACTCCCGGAAATCGACTGCCAAGTTCGGGGTCCAAATAACGGCCAAATTTGATCGAGTGCGATTCTAGCGAAATCTCTACTTTAAAATGATAACCGTGAGTGATCAGTTCCCGGGCGAGATTTTACTATAAGCACACTGACAAATTACGCGTTTTATAAATCCCAAAAATGGGCCGAAATTCGGGATGTCACAACTCTTCCCCCCTTACAAAAATTTCGTCCTCGAAATTTACAATCCAACCCAGTTATCCAAACAAATGGGGGTACTGGTGTCGCATCAGCTCCTCACTTTCCCACGTCGCACTTTCAATCCCATGGTGTTTCCAAATTACCTTGGCTATCGAAATTTCTTGTTTTACAACACTCTCTCTATTCTATCTTTGATCCTAACTGCCTTTTCCACGTACGACACCCTGTCGTCCACGTCCATTACTTCATGATTCGCTCATGGGTCGGGTCTGGTTCATACTTCCTTAACATCGACACGTGGAAGATGATATGAATTTGTGACA